TAGAGGTTAAGCAGGGGCTGGAGGTGAGTCAGAAAGAGAAAACTGAAGGACTCTTGTGGGGTGGAAGTGTTCTGTATCTTGCCTGAATGTGATACTATACTAATTTTGCAAGAGGTTACCCTTCGGGGAAACCAAATAGAGGGTTTATGGGATCTGTTTGCATTATTTCTTACAACTGCATGTGAATGCGTAATTATGTCGAAATAAAAAGGTTAACTTAAAAAAAGTCCTTAGATTATATAATATCGGGGACTGCTAACCCTTGATGCATCTGGGGCCCCACTTCTCAGCGTGCCTTTCTGTCATCACACCCAAGAGGTAAAATATTGGGCAGATGAGATCATGTCCTTTTCCCCAGAGTTATCAAGGAAAGCTAAACTGTTCAATGCATACTATGCACACTCTTATGAATTTTTGTCAAGGTTAATGGGTCCCTCCTCCCAAAAACACCCCTTGGTTTTTGAGCAAAAGAAGCCAGACACAAGAGCATATACTCTTAAAATTCAAGAATAGGCAAAATTGACCTATGGAGATTGGAAGTCAAAACAGTGGTAGCCTCTGGTTAGGGAAGGAAATTGACTGGAAATGGGCATGAGAGAAATTTCTAGACCTGTGCTGTCTATACAGTAACCGCTAGGGGCATGTGGCTGTGGAACACTTGAAATGTGGCTAGTCTGAATGAAGGTGTTCTGTGAGTGTTGAATACACACTCAATTTGGAATACTTAAAAAAAAAAAAGAATGTAAACATTTCAGCTGTAATTTTTAAAAGATTGGTTATATGCTGAAATGATATTTTGACTCTACTAAGTTAAAGAAAATGTATCATTAAAATTAATGTCACCTATTTCTTATTACCTTGTTAATACGGCTACTAGAACACTTAAAAATTACATGTGTGGCTCACACTATATCTATTGAAGAGCACTGTTTTAGAGTGATGGGCAGGTTCTAGCTCTTGGGATGTTGAGTATATAGATTTGTTAAAATGCACCGAACTGTACACTTGAGATTCGCGCATTGTAATTATGCCACAAAGCTCCAAGATCTTTTTACCACCCTACATAATCTTCCTGAAGGAGTCTACAGCGTACAAGGGACTACAAAGAACTCCAGAGTGGTGTGAGCTACAAAAAAGGTGTGAGCAAGTCATCCTATAATTTAGCATCTCGAATAAAACCACAGGTGCATGTGTGTTTGTGCGTATGTGGAGAGAGTATGCAGGAAATTATTATTCGAGTTTAGCAAACTCAAGCAGCTGTTTCTGAAAGCCTGAAGTTCTTGGGGTTATGAGGCATTCACGCTGAGGGTCTTCCCTTGGGTCACTTGTACAGAGCCCGTGGGGAATGCACACAGGAGCCGGGGGTGGGGGCTGATTCAGAACACTTGTCCCTTGATGGGATCGCTAAGGTACATAGGAGGTTAGCTTATGACTTTAGCTCTCTAGAGACAAAACCCTCAATGTTTTTTGCTCCCGGGAAGGACTAGAGAGAATCACAGAGTGTCAGGAGGTTGGGAGGAGTTCATAAGGGTTCTAGCACAAGCAAGACTTCATGTGAGCAGAAAGGCTTCAAACTTCAACCACAGCGCTCCTGAATTAGGGGATCAGACTCAAAGCCCAGCCTCCTTAGGAATCACAGAATGTCTACAGAAAGGTAGAGTGCTCCTTGTCTAAGTGGCCTATTTTACCAACCAGCCAAGGTGCAGAGCGATTGAGTGACTTGCCTAAAGCCATACTGAATTGGAGGTGGTAGGTCTGGGACTTGCTCCCCTGTCATCTGATTCCCACGGTGAGAAACAGACGCACCAACAAGGTTCACAAAACAGGATTTGAAGGCTGGAAACACAGCTTGTTTATTTCTGAAGGGAGAGGCACCTGGCAGAATTATTGGCACCTGTCTTCATTAGGACATTGCCCTAGCAAGTCCTATTCAAGAAATGAAATTACATCCTCTACGTTGGTTTGCTCAACATATAAGCCAAAAAAAAAAAAAAAAAATTGTGAGCACAGGCATGTTACATACCTGGAGCAGCCCAGCTTGGTTTAGGCAATTACCTTGCCAGAACTGTCTCCCTCCTACTCTCTCAAGTTCCTAAACTGTGGGCCTCAAGGTCATTACAGGAATGCACAAACCCATTGCTACCAAGCGTTACCTGTAGCAATAAGCTCATCACTGCAATGGGTTGAAGATCTCTTCTAGCACCAGGCTGTGCGTTAAAAATTTTCTTTCTTTTTTTTTTTTTAAGATTTTTATTTATTTATTTGACAGAGAGAGACACAGCGAGAGAGGGGAACACAAGCAGGGGGAGCGGGAGAGGGAGAAGCAGGCTTCCCTCCGAGCAGGGAGCCCGATGTGGGGCTCGATCCCAGGACCCCGGGATCATGACCTGAGCCGAAGGCAGACGCTTAACGACTGAGCCACCCCGGCGCCCCTAAAAATTTTCTTAATGTGACCTTATTTAACTCTCCAACAACATTATTTACATATGAGAAAGGTCAAGTTCAACTTAGTCCCAAAGTTACCAGCTAAAATGGTTCATTTGGACCCAGATCTGCCTGGCTTCAACGTTTCTGCCTATAGACTGAATAAATTAAATAATGTGGGGGCGCTGGGGTGGCTCAGTTGGTTAAGCCACTGCCTTTGGCTCAGGTTGTGATCCCAGGGTCCTGGGATGGAGCCCTGAGTTCGGCTCCCTGCTCAGCGGGGAGTCTGCTTCTCCCTCTCCTTCTGCCCCTCCCCCTGCTCGTGCTTGCTCTCTCTCAAATAAGTAAATAAAATATATATTTTTTAATTACAGAATGTGGGGGAGGCTGGGAGGGCTTGATACCCAGGATTCAAAAGAGTTCAAGGTAAAATTTCATGCAAGGATGTGTGCTTCATACTTCAAACTACAGCCCTATCATTGAAGGGATCAGCTTCAAACTCCAGCCTCATCAGCAAGTCTTCCCCAGTCTCATTCCCACCAATCGGATTCTTCCCTGCTTTAATTGCCATCCTCCAAGGAACAGCACCCTTTCTGCCTTGTATCAGGGGGTCTATGGTCTTCCCCTGTAGATCCCTTTTAGGCGAAGAACTCAGTGAAAACAAGGTCATTCATCTTTATACCTCCTCAGCAGCCTCCAGAGCAGATTGCCATCTACTGCATGAGAGGCAGGAAAGGGTAACCAAACTGATATGTACCATTCACTGGTTACAATGTCTATGTTTGTATTTTATTTTCTATACATTTACATTTAGACTGGAGGATCCCCAGTGTAATGTGTAGAGATATCATTACCAGATCACTTGTTAATCATCTTTGGGGAATTATGAGAAGAGTCTCTTTTTTGTAACTATTATGGTTTCCAACCAAAACGCTTCCTGGCTTAATACAATCCCTTCATATAGGGACAGCATTTCATAGTTTCCAATACTGGTCCCACCTGATTACAGCCATTCCCCTAGAGGGTAGTCCATGAAGTTCACTTACCCCTCTGACCTACCATCAGCATGGAGTCATTGGAGTCCCAGCTCTGAGCATCATTCCTAATTCTGAAAGGCTTAAGCCAATGTTCTTTCTGTCTTTCTCAGCTCCAAGTGCATCCAACACCCCGGATCCAACTGTGAGGCAGCCCCAGGCCAGCTTCAGAGGTCTGGAGGAAGCCTGCTCATCTCAAATTCATCAAGGAATCTTGCCCCCAATGCTCCCTGAAGCTCCAGACTAGCCCATCCATTTCCTTGGGGAAGGGGATGTGTGGACAAGGGGAAGGAGCTGGCGGTTCAGGAGATCTGGAGAACAATAAGACAGCTTCTTCTTTCCTTCCGGGGGGAAAGGGTCTGAACAACCCCAACTTTGATGGAGCAGGTATTGTCTGGCAGATCCAAGGTCTGGACTTGTGGCTGGGCAGAAGCTGCCGTCTCGGCAGTTGGATAAAAGGAAGAACCAGTGGGCGCCTGGGTGGCTCAGATGGTTAAGTGTCTGCCTTCAGCTCAGGTCATGATCCCAGTGTCCTGGGATGGCGCCCCGCATCGGGTTCCCTGCTCAGTGGGGAGCCTGCTTCTCCCTCTCCCTCTGCCTCTCTTCCTACTCATGCTCTCTCTCTCTGTATCTCTGTGTCTCAAATGAATAAATAAAATCTTTAAAAAATAAATAAATAAATGAATAAATAAATAAATAAAGGAAGGAAGAACCAGGTGCAAGAAAGAAGCCACTGAAAAGGGGATTCTCTCCTACTTTTTTTTTTTTTTTTTTAAGATTTATTTGCCAGAAAGAAAGAGAAAGAGAACACAAGCAGGGGGAGCGGCAGGCAGAGGGAGAAGCAGGCTCCCCACTGAGCAAGCAGCACAATGTGGGGACTCGATCCCAGAACCTGAGTCAAAATCAAGAGTCGCTTAACTGGCTGAACCACCCAGGTGCCCCTCTCCTACTTTTAAATCAGTTGGAATTCCTACCCAGACACCATTTGAAGGTCTCAGGGACCAGACCAACCCCAGAGGAAAGGCTGAGAAGAGCAAGAATTTGTCAATCCAGCAAGTAGGTAGCATTAATGACAAACTCGCCCCGCTCAGAGGTTAGGTAATGCACTCAAGGTCACACAGTGGGTAGGTGGAGAAGCCAGGGCTGTAACCCAAGGCAGTCTGGCTTCAAAGTTCTTGCTCTTTCCTAACAGGCAAAACTGGGAATCTGATAAGTCATAGGCCTGGGGAGGGGGGTAGGGTTGGGCAGCAGAAAAGCAGGCTTTATGTGTGACTAGATCAGAAAAAGCAGAGAGCAGGGGGCGCCTGGGTGGCTCAGTCATTAAGCGTCTGCCTTCAGCTCAGGTCATGATCCCAGGGTCCTGGGATCGAGTCCCGCATCGGGCTCCCTGCTCTGCGGGGAGCCTGCTTCTCCCTCTCCCACTCCCCCTGCTTGTGTTCCCTCTCTCGCTGTGTCTCTCTCTGTCAAATAAACAAATAAAATCTTAAAAAAAGAAAGAAAGAAAGAAAAAGCAGAGAGCAGAAGTCCAGGAGCTTTCCTTACCATTACACTTAGAACACTGAGTAGTGATGACCTGACTTATCTTTTCCCCCACTAGGCTGCACGTCTCTGGAAGGCTGGGTTCTTTGGCTTCTATATCCATAGTACCCACCGGTGCTTGACATGACATATGTACTCAGGAATGTCTGTTGAATGCTTGAGACTCTGGAGGGTCTCTGAAGGGGAAAGAGGGAGTGAAATCAGGCCAAATCACCATAGTCAGTAGAAAAGGGTTCAAGCACATGGAAGGGATGGGAAGGAATTAGGCCAAATGTTCAGGAAACCTTCTCTCTCTGGACAAATGGATCTCCTCCTGCTGCAGAGGCAGAATTTCTCTGAGGCCTGATGCCTATACGCTGAGACTGTAGGCCTGGACCAGATAAGGCTTCTGCTGTTTATACACAAAAATGTCAAAGGTCAGGAGTTTTGCTACATGACCAGAAGTTGCTTGATTGAGCATCATGAAACATGTATGCTTTTAGGAGTAACTTTCCTTGGGGTCCTCACATTGTAAGAGGGCTCTCACTGAGGAGTCCAGAGGTGGGGCTTAGAGGCTCAGGGTAGCGATGGTGGAACCTGCCTAGGAGGCACCGTGAGAAAACCCAGCTGTCTTTTCTTTCTTTCTTTCTTTCTTTTTTAAGATTTTATTTATTTATTTGTCAGAGAGAGAGAGAGCACAAGCAGGGGGAGGGAGAAGCAGGCTCCCCGCTGAGCAGGGAGCTGGATGCCCAGATTCGACCCCAACACCCTGGGATCATGACCTGAGCCGAAGGCAGACGCTTCACCGACTGAGCCACCCGGGCGCCCCTAAACCCAGCTGTCTTCATCACAAACCCATCTACTGACCAGCCTTGGGCCACAGGGTTTTCCCAGAAAATTAGGCATAGCCATCTTAAAGCACTGCATGCTTTCTAGTTATCAGGAACCAGCAAGTTCAAAACGTGATCTTGGAGTTTTAGCCAAAAGAGGAATTTGCATCTCCCTCCAACCGCTCCCCCCCCCCATCCTATTTTTGTTAACCAAACAGTCCTCTCAGAGGAGAAGCCCCTTTGTTCTCCTCCCTTTTCCCCCCTGACTTAGTTCCTGGCCCATCTGGGGGGCAGGGCACGCTCAGTGGTGCCCAGGCCTCCCCCCCTCTGGGTGCTGAAGATAACCACCCCTGATACCATCAGCGGGAGCCCAGCTCTGCTTAAGCAACGAACACACGTTCACACAAGTGAACTACTTACTACTTACTACACTGCTAAAGATGCAGCAGTGCTCTGGGGAATGGCACCTGCCAGCCCCCATCCCACCTTTTGCACTGAGGACAGAAGAAAACAGGCCCAGCAGGTAGCAAGGTGCAAAAGCAGTGTTCGTCAGCACCTAATGAGGAGAGGGGAGACCGCTGAGCTTAGCGGACTGGCAAGACAGGCCAAAGATCCCCACGCTTACCCCTGAAGGGCGTTCCAGCTCAGAGACAGTGTGTTCTGAAGACGCAGCCTTGCCCCTGCCCCTCTTTCTCAGGCTAGACCGCCGAAGGCCCAGGCTCCTGGCCCCCGGTTTGCTCCTGCTTGGAAAGAACCAAGAGTCCTGGACCAGAACTCAGAGTCCGTGCAGGGTCACTGCCGGCCACCAGCTGCAGCCCCAGTCGGCGCGAGCCAGGCCAGCATTTCCTGCTGCCTAGGCGCTGGGTGCGGGATACCCGCTCCCCAGCACGTGCCATCCAGAGTGCGCAGCCTCGGGCCTGCCGGCCAGACTGGCATCGGCCCCCAGGGAAGCTCTGCAAGACCCCCCTCCCCCACCAAACTCCCTCCCGGGGGGGGGGGGCGGGCCGCCCCCTCCTTCCCCGGGCTCGCGTACCTGAGGGGGCGGACGCCCTGCAATCTCGCTTCCTGCCAACCCCGGGCGAGGACGGCGCGGGTCCCCAGCACCCCCGGGCCCGTGGCGCGCAGCCTCGCGAGGCGCAGCATCCCGACGCAGATGGCCATGGCTCTCTCCGCGCGTCCCGGCCCGAGGAAACTTTTAAAGTGAGCCGAGGCGGGGCGAGCGCGGAGCGGGCGGGGAGGCGGGGAGGGTCGCCTCTGCCTATGGGGTGCGGAGGACTCGCTCCGGCCGGGCGGGGCGGGGCGAGGCGAGGCGGGGAGGCAACGGCTACGCGCGGGGCCACCTTCCCCTCGGACCCGCGGGGCCCTCCCCTCCCACCTCGAAGACGTGCCACGGCTTTCCCTCCGGATCCGAAGGCCTCGGGCTGCGGCCGGCTCCCCTCCCGACCACTAGAGGCCTGAAGAGAGGTTCTTCAGGTTTGGGGGCGCGAGGGCTTGTTGATTTCGCAGAGGGGGAGCCCGCGGGCCGTGAGTGCGGGCCGGGCGGCCAGGCCCAGACGCGTCCATCCCGGGAGCCCGGTTTAGCGCGCGGGTCCTGTGCTGTCCCCCGCTCCGGGGGTTGCGAGCCGGAGGCCAAGGGAGCCGGCGCGAAGCCCACCCCCCCACCCCACCCCAGCCTCCGAGGCGTGCCAGCTGGAGCAGAGGGCCCGCGCTGGGTGGGGAGGAAGCCAGGACAAGAGTGCGGTGGGCGAGTCCCCTCTGGGGCCAGAAGTCAGCTAAAGGGACGCCAGTTGGTGCCCCGTCCGTCACGGGGCAGGCTTGACCCCCGCAGTGCACCGCGAAGGGTGGCATCAGGGACTGGAAACCGCTTCTTATCCCCCATCTGCCCCACTATTTCGGGCCTAGGGCACAATCCCGCGCCCTGCCCGAGGCGTGAATGGAAAGCCGCTGTACAGAGGCTCCGCCTGTTCCAGCTCCGGTTCTGGCTGGGAAAGGTGGCGGGGCATCCCTGTCAGGTTCACGCTGTCTTGACCCTTCCTCCAGAGGAGGAGGAGGATAGCAATGGGGGTGGGGGGAAGGGTGTGGCGGGGTGACCTCCCCTTTCCAGCCCCAGAGGCAGCGATGAAAATCGGCCAAGCAGAAAGCATGGTTAGGGGCGGGGCCTGGCTGTAAAAGACCTTTGCCCTGATCACGATCCTTTGGCTCAACTGAGGTCCCTAGAAAGGGACTGTGCTGCTTAAGGGCATCATCCTGAGAGTGACCTCGGATCCCCCTGGAACCCTGACTCCTGGGGAAGGTCTGCGCACTCCCAAGTTGTGTGGAGATGGGGGAGGAAGGAAGATGGGGTGGGTTGTAGAGAAATTAGGAGGAGCTGAGCTTGCAAGGGCACACCTTCCTAAAGAGACTAACTTGCTGACTCTGATAGCCTGCCCCAGGAAGGGAATGCCCCGGGGCACATCCCAGGTCCAGGGGGTCAGCACTGCCAGCACCTTGCTGGGTGGCGCTCGCCCTGTGAAGTGGTGGGTGGATATTGCTCTCACAGACACTTCTAGTTTCCTTGCTAGTTCAAGGGTCAGCCCTGGGGGCTGTGGGGGTAGAGGGGAGAGAAGGATGAGTTCCTCCTTGAACTTGCGCCAGACTCAGTTCTCCATACTCAGGCTTCCCTGACTTCCCAGACACCAGAGCCAGGGAATAATAGCTGCCAGTGTCAGGGTATCTTCCACAAGCCAAACTCTTCAGAGATGTTCTCTCTAGCCTTCACGATGACCCTGCAGGGAACAAGCATGCCTTGGAATGTGTTGTTGTTTTTATCGATGAGGAAACTGAGGGGCACCCGGCTGGCTCAGTCGGTGGTGGAGCCTGCGACTCTTGATCTCAGGGTTGTGAGTTCAAGCCCCACGTTGGATGTAGAGATGACTTAAAATGGAAGGGAGGGAGGGAGGGAGGGAGGGAGGGAGGAAGGAAGGAAGGAAGGAAGGAAGGAAGGAAGGAAGGAAGGAAGGAGAAACCGAGACCCAGGGAGGTTCAGCTACTTGCCCAAGGTCAAGGTGAGCACAGTGAACATAGGCCAAGGCTCAGGCCACACTTACTTGGTAGCTTTGGGGAAGTCACAGGGCCTCTCCAGCTTCAGTCATCATCTTTAAAATGGGAGCAACAGAGGCACCTGGGTGGCTCAGTCGGTTGGACATCTGCCTTCAGCTCGGGTCATGATCCTGGGGTCTTGGGATGGAGCCCTGATACAGGCTCCCTGCTCAGCGGGGAGTCTGCTTCTCCCCCTCCTTTGCCCCTGCTCCTGCGTTCATGCTCTCTCTCTCCAATAAATAAATGAGATCTTTAAAAAATAATTAAAATAAAATGGGGACAATAATACCAGCCTCATGCAATGGGGTGGGGTAAGGATTGGGGCACAGAACTAGTATTTGACCCTTTTACGTTGATTGTTAGCTTCTCCCTCCATCCTCTCCTTCCTCCTGTGTCTATGCTCTGAGACTTCCCTCTGTGTTCCGTGTTGCAAACTTTTTTAGGAGGAGGAATTATTTTTCATCTCTGCAAAGCCTTGAGAGATCTGGTAGGCGCTGGTTCCATGAAAGGAGAAAACGGCTGGGAGGAAACAAAGTGATAGTGCCTAACGTGGGGGTCCCTAAGTCTGTTGACCAGAACTCTTGGGTCACTTTGAGAGGGTGGTGAGCAGGGCACGTCACCAACCAGTCCCTGCAGCTTTCCTCCCTCTACCTTCGACCAACTATACAGCTTCCCAAGGGGCTTTCTGCCCAAGCCCAGCCCCTGACTTGGATGGTTTATGGTGCCTGTGATTCTACTCAGGCCACTGGCTAGCCTGAGAAAGCCCTTAGCCCTTCCCTTTTGCCAATATCCTTTTGCCAATATCCTTTTGTCAATATCCTTTTGTCAATATCCTTTTGTCAATATCCTTCCCTTCTGTGCTTCAAAAATGGGCTCAAAATGTAAATGCCATTTATTGATCTTTTAAAAAAAGATTTATTTATTTATTTGAGAGAGAGAGCACAAGCAGGAGGGGCAGGGAGAGAGAGAGAGAGAGAATCTCAAGCAGACTCCATGTTGAGCGCGGAGCCCAACACGGGGCTCGATCTCATGACCCTGAGATCATGACTTGAGCTGAAACCTAAGTTGGTCATTTAACCAATTATGCCACCCAGGCGCCCCGCATTTAATTGATCTTTTAAAAAAGTCTTAGTATCAACCTATGAATAAAGTTCAGAAGAGGGCGCCTGGGTGGCTCAGTCGTTAAGCGTCTGCCTGCGGCTCAGGTCATGATCCCAGGGTCCTGGGATCGAGCCCCGCATCGGGCTCCCTGCTCCGCGGAAAGCCTGCCTCTCCCTCTCCCCCACTCCCCCTGCTTGTGTTCCCTCTCGCTGTGTCTCTCTCTGTCAAATAAATAAATAAAATCTTAAAAAAAAAAGTTCAGAAGAGTTCATCACAGGGAACAGAAGGTAAACGCTACACACCTCAGAAGTCACACATGACAGAAGTAGAGAAGGAAGGGGTAGGAGATGGAGGGGCCAGGCAGATATACCTACCTTAACTTGAGTCATCAAGAGATCCTGTCTGTCGATGATGGAACATGAAATAAAGGAGTATGTTATTTAAAGTTGCACAGGTAACCAGTCTATGTACGAAAATAACAAACTGTATTAGGAGCACTTGGGGAGGAGACACAGCCATGCAAATCCTCCCCTATCAAACAAAATCAAGAAATGGCTGAATACATATAATATATAGAGGCAAATAACAGAAGATAAAGCATACACGGTTAAAATCTTTCAAAATGGTTCCCTTTGGTTTGAACAGAGGTTTCTCCAAAGAAGACATACAACGGCCAATAAGCATGTGGAAAGATGCTCAACACAAAAATACAAATGACAAGGCACTCATCATCAGTAGTCATTAGGGAAATGCAAATCAAAACCACAATGAGATACCACCTCCCACCCCTGAGGATGGCTATTAAAAAAATAATAATAAAACAAAACAGTAAGTGTTGGCAAGGAGGTGGAAAAACTGAAAGACTTGTGCGTTGTGGTGAGAATATAAAATGGAGCAGACACTGTGGAGAACAGCATGGCAGTTCCTCAAAAAGTTAAAAATAATTACTCCCATGTTCTGGCAACTCCACCTCTAGGTTTGTACTCCAAGGAATTGCAAGTAGGAACTTGAGCAGACATTTGTACACATATGTTTGTAGCAGCATTATTCACAATAGCCAAAAAGCGGAAACAACCCAAATGTCCCTTGGCAGATAATTGAGTGGATAAACAATATGTGGTATGTCCATACAATGGAGTATTATTCAGCCTTATAAAAGGAGGGAAACTCTCACACGTGCTATAAGAGAAACGAACCTTGAGGACAACATGCTAAGTAAAATGAGCCAGACACAAAAGAGCAAACACTTACACGAGGTACCTAAAGTAGTCACATTCCACTGGAAGTAGAATGGTGGTTGCCAGGGGTGGGGAGGGGGAGGGGAATTAGTGTTTAAAGGGTATAGAGTTTTTATTTGGGAAGATGAAAATGTTCTGGAGATGGGTGGTGGTGATGGTTGCACAACAGTGCGAGGGAACATAACGCCACTGAACTGGGCACTTAAAAATGGTTAAAATGGGGAGCGCCTGGGTGGTTCCATCGGTTAAGCATCTGATCTTGGCTTCGGCTCAGGTCATGACCTTGGGGTCCTGGAACGGAACCTCTCCTAGGGCTCCATGCTCAGCGCAGAGTCTGCTTGTCTCTCTCCCTCCTCTGCTCTCGCCCTCACCCTCACATGCATGCGCTCTCTCTCTCTCTCAAATAAATAAATAAAATCTTTTAAAAAGTTGTTAAAATGGTTAAAATAAAATGGTTAGTTTTATGTATGTCTATTTTGTTACAATAAAAAAGAGTTCTTTTTGGAGCATGGGACTGGGAGGAAGGGTAGAGCAGAGAACCAATGCTTTTTTTGTTAAAAAGCCTTTTTCTTGTTTTATTTTCCTAAGACAGTGTGCATGGTTTTTTTTTTTCTTTAGATTTTATTTATTTTTAAGTAATCTCTACACCCAATGTGGGGCTTGAACCTACGACCCTGAGATCAAGAGTCATATGCTCTACCAACTGAGCCAGCCAGGTGCCCCATACATGTTTTATCTCAACAAAAAAAATTTTTTGAGAGAGAGAGAGCATAAGCATGGGTGGGGAGGGGTAGAGGAAGAAGGAGAGAGCAAATCTTAAGCAGTCTCCATGCCTAGCCCCGAGCGCCATGCGGGGCTGGATCTCACAACCCTGAGATCACGACCTGAGCTGAAATCAAGGGTGGGACACTTAACCAATTGAGCTCAACCAGACGCCCCTCAATAAAACTTTTTACTCGCAGCCTTCTGGATGAGTGCCATTGATCGTGTACAGGGACTAGCATGTTTGGTGAGGTTTTTTACAGCAAAGCAGTGAGTGCAAAGGGGTTGCTCAGACCTGCAATTAGCCTCGGAGTCAGATCTGGGAAGAAATCTGGCTCTGCCACCTTTTCTCTCAATGACCCTGGGCACATTTCTTACCTCTGGTGTAATTTTTCATAGCTCTCTGTTGAAATTGACTGGATATGAAAAATGTCCCTTTTAAAGAATCTTCTTCACTGGATGTCTGAGGTGGGAGCTGTCTGGGTAGAAATGCAGAGCTCCCGAAGGACAGGAGGAAAATAGAGACTGCTAGCAGCCCCGGCAAAGGAAAAGAGAGAGGAGGATGAGGAAGGGTTCTCATTTTGTTTTTTTTTGTGTGTGTGTGTGTGTGTGTGTTTTTAAAGTAGGCTCCACGCCCAGTGTGGGACTTGAGCTCATGACTCTGAGATTAAGATTCAGATGCTCTACCGACTGAGGCAGCCAGGCACCCCTGGATTCTCATTTTGAAAGTAGAGATGACGGTGTCCAGCGACAACATAACACTCACTCTCTGCCTGTCCGATCTGGTAGCCAGTACCCAAAACAAAAAACAAACAATGAGGCTGACAAAAAATTGTTCTAAAAGCTGCTGTTTCTGATATTCAAACTGAAAGTGAAAATTGGGAACTTGTCCTGAACTGCTCTGCAGAGTAACATTACTTCAATCACAACCAGGAATTGATGGCAGACACAGGCAGATAGGATCTTAAAACAATCACAATTTGCTGGCAACTCAAAACTGAAAAACTTTATTTATTTATTTATTTATTTATTTATTTATTTATTTATTTAATTTAAGGTTTTATTTATTTATTTGAGAGAGAGAGAGAGACAGTTTGAGAGGGAACACAAGCAGGAGGAGTGGGAGAGGGAGAAGCAGTTTCTCCTTAGGGAGCCCATTGTGGGGCTCGATCATCCCAGGACCTCGGGATCACGACCTGATTGGCCCTGCAGCCCAGGGCCAGTCTATTGTTCCCAAGGAAAACCTGCCCACAGATGACAGGCTCCACTTTCTCATCAAGCTGCCTTAGGGATGTAAGACAACAACAACAGCAGCAGCAACAACCAAAAACCTTTCTCAGAGTGAACAGCTGCTGTCAATTGCTCACTCTTCCACCCCACTTCCTGGGCTGTGACTCTGCCCGTCTGCATCTGACCCATTCTTCCAAGCCCGACTTAAATGCCGCCTCCTCCATGGTGCCTTACTGCTCCCTTCCTTCCTCCAGGCTCTTTTTCTCCACCATGCTGGGTATGACCCACGTGTCGTGAAATACATTCACCTACTTACCACGACTGTCTTTAAATAGCTAAGTAGTTGACCTCTCTGAGCCTCAGTTACTTTCTTTGAAAAACCGAAATAATGTCTGCCTTATAAGGCTGTTGTGAGTTAAAAGAAATAACATATGTAAATCATAGCCCTGGGCAGAATGCTCTTAAATATGTAAGTCTGATGTTATCAGTCTCAAACACGTACCCACCCCGCAGCCCTGTACATTTACACAGGTTTTGTCTGTATGTGGTAGGGCCCTTATCCTTTCTACTTTATATAATAATTACTTGTGTTGATTGTAGGTCCCTTGGAGGCAGGGATGAGAGGGTGTAGTGAGAACAAACCGGATTTGGAATCAAAAGATTTGGGTCTGCCCCTATGGGACTGAGGACAAGTTACTTCTCCCTGAGTTTCTTCCTTAATAAAAAAGAAACAACAGGGGCGTCTGGCAGGCTCAGTCAGTTAAGGGGTTAAGCGTTGGGCTCTTGATTTTGGCTCAGGTCAGTCATGATCTCAGGGTCGTGAGATCCAGCCCCCCCTTCAGATTCTCTGCCCCCACCAACTCACATGAGTGCATGTTCTCTCTAAAAAAGGGAGAGAGAGAACAATAAAATGAGCTGTATAGTCTTTTTGTGTACTTTATCACAGTGAGATAATGGATGCTCAAGGGCTTTAGAGATTGCCAAGTGCTAATGTGTAATTATACAATTGCCTTGTCTGGTTCCCAGAAGCCTGGCACAGTGCCTTGTTGGGGGTGGGAGGGGTGTGCACAAGGATTTGTGAAATGAATATGTCATGGCACTGACTTCATTTGGTCTTCACAGTTGCTCTCTGAGATAAGCTTTGATGTGCCCATTTTAAAGATGAGCAAACTGAGGTGTGAAGTGTGTAAAGTGCTTCACTTGTTCGTTCATTCATTCATTCAGCAGACTTTTGAATGAGAACCACCATGCTTCAGACACTCAGACCCTGGGGATACAAAGACAAAACCTCTCCCTCACAGTCCGAGGACAGACACATAAAGATAAGTATAACACAAGGCAAGTTGTGAATTATGGCTAATATTTATCAGGTACTTACTAAATGCCAGTCACTACAGTAAGCTCGGTAAGCTCATTCAGTCCTCCCCAGACTCTCCCAGCTAGGTACCATTACTATGCACATTTCTCATCTATCCATACCTAAATACGGCATGGTGATTGCTTAAGCTTTCGTAAACAGCAACTGGCAGAGCCAGAGGCCCCACCTTAGCCACCTAGCTCTAGCACCTCTGAGAGTAAGGTAGCGTGTGGGACATTATCAGAGTCCCAAGGAGGGAGCCCTAACTAGCTCTGGGTTTTCTGCTGGGGAGGTTTCCTGAAGGACTAGAAATGAGCTAAACAGAGGTGCATTGGGAAGCAAGGCCATCCCAGAAGAGAGAAAGGTGTGGAGGCTGATGTAGGAAAGACCTTCGGTTCAAAGCCAGCGGCCAAGAAAGAATCCTTGAGACATCTCTGGCACAAAAAGGTGGTTTTATTAAAGCACAGGGGCAAGACCCGTGGGCAGGAAGAGCTGCCCCGGGGTCACGAGGACTGGCCCATTATATACTTTCAAGTTGGGAGGGGGGTTAAGGATAGCCTAAGTCTCTAAGGAATTTTGGAAGCAAGGTTTCCAGGACCTTGAGGGGGCTAGCTATTGTTGGGAAAAGGTCATTTATTACTGTCTAATAAAACCTTAGTCATGAGACCCTTCAGATGTATATCAGTGAGTCATATGCTTGGGGGATGATTGCCAACATGTATCTTATAGGGGTAGAGATAAAGTTTCCAAAAGGAATTTTTATATGTCGAAGTAGACTTACAGGATCCTGGGGCGGCGGCGGGATCAGGCTTGCTTTGCCCTTAGCAAGGTATTAACATGGAGGCAGCTGAGTTCCAAGAGCAATGTCACTCTGCCTGTTTTAAGGACTTATCAGTGGGTTGTAGGTAGTAAGGAAATTTAATAATTTTTCTTCTGCCTTTGTTTCCTACATCAGAGGCCACCTAATGGAAGTCTACGCAGCATCCCAGGCTGGGAGGGACTGGGGTTTGTGAGGAGACTGCAGAAGCAGGCATGGACCAGTCTAGAAAGGAGAGTGGTCCATATTCTAGAGGTAGCCAGAAGTTGAAGGGTTTGAAGCAGAGGAAAGACTTGGTTAGATTTTTAGAACGGTCATCTGGGCAGCTGGGTAGAGATGGATGGCAGGGAGAGAGACTCAGAGTAATCCAGGCGCGAGGTGATGGCCACCTGGACAAGGGCTGGAGCAGGGAAGAGGAGATAAGATTCAGAGGCTGAATTTTCGGGTGATGATCATTTGGGGATTAAGTAAAGAGGACCGGAGCAATTTTGAAAGACGTGCAGTTTTGGCTCCTAATCAACGAGAATGGGGGTGATCTGATGAAGTCAGTTTGGGATGCAATCCAGGACTCCTGGCGCCCAGTCCCGTGCCCTTTCCCCTCCTGGCGCTGCCAGCGACGGTGACGCACCCCGGCGCCACTGGGGAAAAACGGCCGCTCAGCCGGGTGACCGAACTCGCAACTTTGAACCCCACCCTTCCGGAGGTGGCGGCCACTGCAGTGTGCCCTCCTCGGCGCCAGATGGCGCTCCCGCACACGCCCTGGACGCTCTGGCCCCGCCCTTCTCAGTGGCCGCGGAAGGTGACGTGGACACGGAAGTGGTCGTCGTCGCGGCGGCACCAGTGGGAGCTGGGCGCGGGGCTCAGAGTGCAGCGGGCGGTCGGGCAGACGGCGGCGTCTTGCACCTGCGGCGGCGGCGGACGCGGGCGTTGTCGGTTGGGTGCGAGTCCACTGAGCCGACGAGCGGCTTCTCCGCCCCTCTCCTGCCCGTCGGAGGCCCCGGAGCCGGGACCGCTCGGCCGGCGTCACCATGACCAAGGCCGGTAGCAAGGGCGGGAACCTCCGCGACAAGCTGGACGGCAACGAGCTGGACCTGAGCCTCAGCGACCTGAACGAGGTCCCGGTCAAGGAGCTGGTCAGTAGAGCCCCACGAGGCCCAGGTCCTCGCCCCAGACTGGCGCAGGCCCTTGTGCGGGCCGCCTCCTTTCGCACGCCTCAGTTTCCAGAGCTTAAAACTGGGTGGGAGGAGTGGGACTAAGTTCGCGGGAAGCCCACCTCTGCCCCCAGTTTTCTTCCGGGGATGTACACGTGTCACTTTGGCGCAGTTCCAGCAGATGAGAAGGTGCTGCTTGTTCGACCCTGAGCTTTTTACGAGTCAGGAGTGAATCTCCCCTCCTATCTGGGGGGGGCTTTCACAGCGCTCACCTCCGTGTTTGACTCAAAGTAGGCGCCCGCGGAGTGGTTGCTGGCTGTTTGGAGAATGAATGAGTAAATGAATGAATGACTCCCCTGAGAAGTAGGCCTCTGGGCAGACCTGGGTGTGGCCCGGAACCTTGCATTTCTTGGAAGCTGGCAGTCCCAGCCAGCTGTCCTGGCCCCTGGGGCGTCCTTCCGTGAAGACTGTGCAGTGTCACTGCTTGGTTGGCAAGGGCTCTTCCCAACTCAGCTTAAACTGGCTGGAATCCAGTTGCTGCTGCCCACCGCCCCCTCGCCCCAACCATTCCCAAACTCCCAGCCAGGAAACAGGCCTGAGGTCCCAGGAAGATTACACAACTAGTTTGTTGCCAAAGTGGAGTTAGATCATAGCCCCTGCTTTTCCCACCAGGTTTCCTACCGGCACACTAGGGTCACTTTGGGTGCCCTACCTTTTCCTGCCTTTAATGGATTACATTTGCCTTTGGCACTTGGCTCTGTAGTGCGGAGGTTAGAACAGACTTCCAGTTCATATTCCAGTTCCATTGCTGAAGAGCTGTGTCCCTGCCCTTGGCAAGCCAGTTAACCTTTATACCCATAGATTTCCTCATTTATAAAATGGTGATAATAGTTCCCATTTTACAGGGCTGTGAGGATTAAGATTGTAATGTAATATACTTGGTAGGTAGTAAATGTTGGTGCATGCAGCTGTTATATTATTATTACTACTATTATATTCCAGTGCTAATTTTTAAAGGCCTTCCTAATTGTGGGAATTTTCTCTGGAAAATGCTTCATGTCACTGAATCATTCCATGTGTTGATTTGACATTTTGTTCTCATTCCTTTTCCTAGGCTGCCCTCCCGAAGGCCACCATACTGGATCTGTCCTGCAATAAACTGACTAGTCTACCGGTAAGATTGGCAGGCGAGCACACTTCCTTCTAGAGCCCTGATCCTTCTTGTTTAAGGGAGTTATGTCTTAAGAGCCGTGATTTCAGGACAGGCCGCAGACAAGCTATAACTGAATGGGAGTATGCTGGGGGAGGGGTGGGGTGGTTTATCTCAGCAAGAAGGGAAGCACAGTAGAGGCTTCATTCTTTAGAACAGTGGGAAAGTCAGGCCATGAAAAACTAAAGTCGGGGCACCTGGGTGGCTCAGTCGTTAAGCGTCTGCCTTCAGCTCAGGTCATGATCCCAGGGTCTTGGGATTGAGCCCAGCATCAGGCTCCCTGCTCAGCAGGGATCCTGCTTCTCTGTCTCGCTCTGCCTCTCCCATACGCTGTTCTTTCTCTCAATAAAATGTTTAAAAAAAAAAAAAAGTCAACAGAATGCTGGCTGAATCACTTATTGGGGTCATCTTTTTTTCTGCCTTATTTCATTCCTTTGGAAAAATAGTTTACCTCCTTATCGTGTAGAGGAGAGTAGAGGCCATTCTGTACGTTCCTCTGCATTCCAGGGAGAAAGCTGTTTATGAACAGCTTCCTTGTGTATCTTTTGATGAGGAACAGGAAAAAAAATGTGGCTTTTGGGGACTACTGTATCATTGTTCTCCCAACCCTTGAATTACTTTGCGACACTTTTTTGTTCACATCCAGCCTGTGGTCAGATCCTTTTGATTTTTCTTCCATAACTTCTCCCAGTTCTCCTTCTCCATTATATGCTTTGCTATGTCTTCAGTCTGCAGTCCTTTACCTTCGTAGGCCCCGGAGTGGTTCAGCCCTTCAGCCCCTTCTGGGTGATGGCAGGTCTGGGCTCCAGAGCAGCGCGCCTTCACTGTCAGGCCTGAGTCTGTTGCTGCCGTTGTTGTGTTTACCAGCAATCACTCTGGCCGTGTCACTCCCTGCCCGGCTCCCCTGGGCTCTGCTCGGGGATCGGGTCTCAGAAGTTGGCAGTTTCTTCATTGGGTCATTAGTCTGTTCCCCTGTCAGTATTCCCCTGGGCCTCATTCTCTCTAGCATCTTCTCGAAGCTCAGCAAGAACCGTTTCTCATTATGAAAAAGCATCCGAGATCCCACTGCTTCTAGGAGGCATTTCATGTCTAGTGAAAGTGTGGTGGCAGGTGCTTGCCGCCCGCCGTGCGTGCTGTCGGTAGTCACGCAGCGGCCCTCAGTGCACTTTTCAGTCTGAATGCGTTCAGTTGTTCGTGCCTTCCTCGGCAGTGCCGGTCCGCTGGCGGTTACAGGTCCCCTGAGAGCGTGAGCAGGGCCTCTGCGCCGAGGTGGGAGCAACACTATAGACGGGTGCTGTGCTAGGTGCTGCAAAGAACAGAGAAGAAGACTGAGTACTTGAGGGGCGTTCGATCTTTTTAGGGAAGCAGATGGTCATGCTGCGCTTTGAGCGCTCCTGAGAAGGGAGAGTCTGGGGTGCCGTGGGGGGGCCGGACGGGCCCCTAGTCCCTGCAGGAGCAATGTGGAGGTCGGGTTGGAGGGCGCACAGAGCATGAGGGAACACACACTTACTTTGTGCCTCCTTTGCGCCACTCCGGATGCATCTCACTACGTAGAGCGGAAGTGCTGGGTGTTGGTTGCATCTCCTTCCAGGTGGAAGAGCAGGTGGCGGGTAGGGTCAGGGTTAACCTGCATCATCACTCCGAGCTGTGAGCCCGGGGTTTAGGTGTTCCCTGTCTTGGTCCCAGGCGGATTTCTGTGGCCTCACACACCTCGTGAAGCTGGACCTGAGTAAGAATAAACTGCAGCAACTGCCGGCCGACTTTGGCCGTCTGGTCAACCTCCAGCACCTGGATCTCCTCAACAACAGGCTGGTGACCCTGCCCGTCAGCTTTGCTCAGCTCAAGGTAACGGTTCAGGAACTAGTGTTTCGTGTCAGGGGAGGCTGAGGGCCCAGGGACGGGTGGAGCACGGCCGTGAGTGGCTGGCACGAACACCACCTTGGGGGTGCTGCCTCGGAAGGCTGGGGCTTTCTTCCCGCTCATTTGGTTCACCTTGAGGGCCTCTGTGTGAACCTGGGCTTGACCAGCCTCTCTGTCCTCTCTCTTCAGAGCCTGAAGTGGCTGGACCTAAAGGATAACCCGCTGGATCCTGCCCTGGCCAAAGTGGCAGGGGATTGCCTGGACGAGAAGCAGTGTAAGCAGTGTGCCAACAAGGTAAGCACGAAGTTCCCCGGGGTCTCCTCCACACGGTCACACGGTCCTCTGGGACTCGCCTCTGCGTCCTCTTGTTTTTCCCTCCCAGGGCACACACCTCACCTGTTTGAGGTTTCCAGCACTAGGGTCTCAGTGGAATATGGCTGCTATTAGCCTGTCAGGCAGAGGGACCTTTGTTTCTGTGCTGACTTTACAAGTAGGAGAACGGTACTAGCTTCTCTACTGCGGAACTTCCGTTCTTAAGAAACCAGGATCTTGGGGTGCCTGCGCGGCTCAGTCGGTTAAGCGGCAGCCTTCGGCTCAGGTCATGATCCCAGGGTCCTGGGATCGAGTCCCGCATCGGGCTCCCTGCTCCTTGGGGAGCTTCTCCCCTGCTTGTTAGCTCTTTCTCACTCTGACGAATAAATAAATAAATAAAATCTTAAAGAAAGAAAGAAACCGGGACCTTGCCTAATCCAGCATTACACCATTGACAGTTCTTTAAATGGGACAAGATTATCTGAGTCACAGTTATTGTAGGAATTTTGATAATAAGTGTCGTTAATATTCGTAAGCTTATATACCTATAAGCAGACACATCCTGGGCAGATCTGACATTTGATTTCAGTCAAGTCATCTGATGTAGGAGCGAGGAACTAAAGGCAGAATGGAAGGCAGGCGTTGCCAACAGCCCTGAAGATGCCTCGCACTGCTTTATTTTTTTTTTTCTTAAGGATTTCTATTTTATTTTTAGAGAATGTGTGCGAGAGGGGAGGGGCAGAGGCAGAGAGAGAGAATCCCAAGCAGGCTCCACAATGAGTGCAGAGTCCAATGTAAGGCTCAGCCTCACGACCCTGAGCTCACGACCTGAGCCAAAATCAAGAGGTGGACGCTTAACCAGTTGAGCCCCCTCAGGCGCCCCATGCCTCGCACTGCATCTCTCCAACGCCAGCCATGGTCACTTTTTCCCTCCAGCTTTAGAACAGCTGAGCGCCAGATGGCTTACTTGGCCATGTTTAGGAGGCATGATGAACAGAAAGGACTCGAAATGCTTTAACTTCAAATGCTAGAATTACTGGAAGTGAAATGTGGGCATGGTGGGTCTCTACGTGAATCTCGGGGATAATGGCTTTTCTTATCATTAGTTCCGAGCTTCTTAGAAAGTCTCATCATGTGTCTCACCTGTTGTCACAGGAGACCAGGGACAGGGTCACTGCAGCCCGGTAGCCACGGCAACAGCTTACCCTTAGCTGCGAACAGTACAAATGATGAGTGAAGGCCCCGTGCTCTAGGTGTGCTGTCTGTTCTGAAGAATGGCAGGAGCTCTGACCAACCACCCTTCCTTTGTCCTGCGTGCTTTATGCCTCACCTCATGATCCTCATAACCCTGGGAAGTAGAGCTCCCTTCTATGTCTCTGACACAAGAAACGCTCACCATGCACACACTTTTCATTTATCCATGTATTCATTCAACTAATAATATGTTAAACCATGTGAAATTGCTGATATCCCACAAAGATCATTTTTAATTGAGCACCAAGATCTTTAGTATTAGCATATAGCTTCCAGACAGAGCTCCAGGTAGCCCACAGCATTGTGGGTGTGGTCACTGAAGCCATGCTCCCTGACTCTGTGGCCCAACGTGGTCTCCTGAGTGCAGCGTGCAGCACACCGTTAGGCGTCGTAGTGGAGTGGCTTGGGCCAGCCAGGATGAGGTCACTTGTCTCCAGGAGTTAGCTTAGACCTCACCAGCTCTGACCTTGTGTGGGTGCATAGGTCAGTTGCAGTAACTGATAAGCTTGGTACAGAGTACAGCCCCTTTTAAAAATAATTTGTTAGCTGGACAGTATTAAGTGCTTACTGTAGGCTGTGGCCTGGCACAGGTGGACAAAATCTGCCCTCCGGGGCTCCCAGTCCAGATTAGACGAGTCACTCCCATTTCTGAGCTTGCTGTGTTATCACGTAACTCCTGATGTATTGGAGCCCAGGTGAAAAGGGATGTCTCTTAAACCTCTCGGCTCTTTATTTAGCCACCTGTACACCCCTTAAAATCACCGGAATGGTTGGTGTTTATTTAGTATTTGGAGTTCAGAGTGAGATGGGGACTTCGAACTTGGACTGCCTCCCAACATCAGGCTTGACCTTCCAACAGATCCTGCACTCCTTGTTGAGTGGCCGTTGTTTAGTGAGCTTGACTCCCTTCCAAGAGGTTGCAGCAGGTTCAAGGCCCAGGACAGGGTTCCTCGTGCCTTCAAAGCAGGCTCTTGCAGGGAGCCCGAGAGGTTAAGTCACTTGCTAAGGTCACACACTTAGGAAGTGGTAGAGTCAGGATTGTGCTGGGCTCTAAGCTCTCACTCTGTCCTCTACATCCAAGGGATACCAGCTTCTAAAGGTACAAACAAACCTAAAAAATAAAAGTCTTTTACCTTCTCCCCTCACTGTGCCCATAGTGAGAATCTCTGGGGCTCTCGGAGTCAGAGGCCATCCGTGACTGAGTGGATGAGGATTGAGGGGCTCTGGGCGCCAGGCTTTGTCTGCTGGGTGGGCCGAAGGCTGCTTCCCTTCCTCCTAGAGGCTACCTTGCTCTGTGTGCTGATGTGAGTGGGACAGGCTCTGGCCCCGGAGCTCAGAAGACCGTAGCTCTGAGCTGTGCTACTTTGGAGCCATGTGATGGGGACAAATCAACCCCCCCCGCCCCCAGCCTTGGCTTTTTGCCTCTTGAGATGGGGAGCCAGGCAGTCGTTCATCAAAAATGTATTGAGTGTCTAGCCGGCAGATGGGATAGCCGTCTCCCCCCTGAGGGAACCTAGTGTTGTGACCGAGAGAGTAAGCCGCCTCCTGAGGACAGAGAGGGGCGGCACTTGCATAAGGTAGCCAAGGGAGCGAGGGCGGGGAGCCTTGGGGGACAATGCTGTCCCTGCTTGTCATCAGAGCTGCTGGGGATGGCGCGTGTGATGGTAACTTACACACTCCAGTTGGCAGCACGTTTCACAGATGTGTCTGCTCACAGCTTTACTGACCTGGGCTCGAATGACCCATCTCCCACTAAGGCCGGCGTCGTGAGTTAAGAGACAGGGACGGGATTGCCTCCCTTAACTGTGCGTTGCGTGGGGCTGCACCAGCCTGAAAAGAGCAGGGGGAGCCTTGGAGCCTCCCTAGTGGACGTGCGCCCCGTGGCGCCCCCTGCTCCGGGCACTTCAGCACCCCTCTCCCTCCGCAGGTGTTACAGCACATGAAAGCCATGCAGGCCGATCAGGAGCGAGAGAGGCAGCGGCGGCTGGAAGTAGAACGAGGTACGTGCCATCCCTCCTCCCGCCGTCTTCCCATCCTTCCCAGGCCGCTGACTCCCATGTGGCAGGAGCTGGGGTCCGTGGAAGCAGCGGGGAGCCGTGGGGCGGTGTATGGCCTCATCTCTGTCCGACGGGTTTGTCTCTGATCCCCAGCTCCAGAGGCCTACAGCCTGCTGGGAGGGTTAAGAGGCATCGGAATTTAAGCATGGCCAAGACAGTCCCCTTCAAGCCCTCCCAGGGGCCCCCAGTAATAGGCAGTCCCCATTCCTGCACTTACTCAAGCCTGAAATTGGAAAGATGGCCAGCAAGTCCTGTGTGTGATGCTCCCTCCCCTCCGGGCCGCCCCGTGACTCAGCCTCCATGCTGTAGCCGGCCCTGGCGCCTCCCCGCTCCGTGGCCTGTCTCCACACTCATGCCCCCTCCACGGCAGCCATGGACATGTTCTTAAAACAGAAGTCAGTTATGCTGCTATTTACTTAAAACACTCTAATGGCTTCTGATGGAACTTAGGATGAAATTCAGACTTCATTCGGTCGCCGACAAGGCCCGCCGTGGCCCCAGCCTGCTTGCTTCCTCCGCTCTGTCCCGCACGCCGGGGAGAGAATGCTGGTAACTCCAGCCGCACGAGCCTCTGCTGTTGCTCGAGCACACCAAGGCCGCTCTCGCTTCAGGGGCTGTGCCTGGTTGCTTTTCCCTCAGGTCCTTACACGGCTGGGTTCGTGTGCTTCCTCATGTCTGCTCACATGTTGCCTTAGCGTTACCATAACCCCTTCAGAACCACCCTGACTTGGGTTGCCGTCTCGCCTGTCACTCCATCACAACCTCTCTTACTCTCTCCATGGCACACATCATTGTCTTCTTTACTCTTTGTTCATTTGTCTCTAGAAAGCTTTAGGCGCTGGAACCTGACTTGTCTTCACCGCTGGATCCCAAGCACTTAGAACAAGGCTTGGTGCACAGCAGGCGCTTGTTGGGGGCTGACTTCTGAGCCCCCAATGCTGGAGGACTCCCGGGGTTGGGGAGGGATGGGCATAGTCCTGGTCCTGGGCGAACCCTGAGATGGAGCCTAGTGACACCAGGCCCTTATACATGTGTGTCCCCTGTGATGCCGTGTTTCCTTGGACCACGGCTGCTTGACTTCCTGCTGCCACGGGCTCTCTCCAGGCTGGGTGTAATGCGCCCTTGGCGTTCTCAGTGCCCAGCTGGAACTTGGAGCTTGTTTGTGCATAGAAAAACAGTGGAAAGCTCCAGTACTTAGCGTACTGCTCTTCAGCTACATTATGGGTCAGATAGGGTTTTAAGCCCTAAAAGGACGTTTAACTCCCTAATTTGTGGCATTCTGGCTTTGGAAAAATATACTTCATGCTTCCAAATATCTCATTTGGAAGTGCATTTTTGGAAGCCAGTGATTTGTAAGTTGGGTACTGGATGTGAATGCACTTGAACTGTGACTCCTCGCAGATTCCTGAGGTGAAGTGTAGAGATTACCCTCTGACAAATTATTAGTCTTGCTTTCTCAGGAAAACATTTCCATCTTCTCTCACTGTGAACTTGAGCACTCACTTCCTCTTCTTCCTTGCCCTTCCCATGCCACGTTCCTTTCTGAGTCTTGGGAAGGTAGGAATCCCATAGAATCCACACCCCCGCTGTCTCTTCTCTCGACAGCCTAGTTGTAGAAGGTGGTCACTCGCTGTGCTTTCTGAATCCTGCGGCTCATCACCTGTGCCCCTTATTACATCACCCTAATCTCTGCTGCCCGGGGCTCGGGACCCTTTAATCCATTCAGCACACCCTGAGAGCAGCTTATTGTGTCTGAGGGAGGGCTTACCTCTCCGAGAGCAGAGAGACCGCCGTTTCCTCTTAATACAGCTTACATGACCTGTGGCATAAGGGAAGGGAGGCCAAACCCAAGCTTTTAGTTCCTTGGGGAAGCCCTCCTGCAGGTTGGCGGGGGGGGTGGTGTGCGGTGAGAAGTCATTTTGGGGTGCATTTTCCTGCAGAGGCCGAGAAGAAGCGGGAGGCCAAGCAGCGAGCTAAGGAGGCTCAGGAGCGGGAGCTGCGGAAGCGGGAGAAGGCGGAAGAGAAGGAGCGCCGGAGGAAGGAGTACGACGCCCTCAAATCAGCCAGGCGGGAGCAGGAGAAGAAGCCCAGGAAGGAGACGAATCAGGCCCCGAGTACGTGTTGGCAGCCGCAGGGTTCCAGCTGGGGTGCAGCGGGGGCCGCTGTGGTCACAGACAGCACCCTAGGGCCCGGGAGGAGCTTGGAGGGTGTGCAGGGACTGGGGGGCCGTCCTGGGGAGCGGGCGCGGGGCTGCTCTGTCGCTCCAGAGCCGCGAAGGGGCGTGCCGCTGTTCAGGCAGATGCAGCTGGGAGCGCTCCTGCAGGAGGGAGCTGCCCTTCTTGTCAGGGTCAGATGCTAAAATCGCGACAAGGCGGAGACATTGCCCTTAAAAGTCCCTCAGTCGCCTGTGCCGCGCACGTGGGCTTTCTGAGCGCCCGGCACCGTCCCAGGGACGCTGGCACTGCCTCTCCTGCTCTTTCTAGGTCGGAACAGAGCGCGCGCCCCTTGCTTGAATGCCAGAGGAATCCTCTGGCCGCAGGCTGTATAAAAGCCACACCAGTGTCCAGCTGTTTGTGTGGTGAGGCGGCTCCGTGTGCAGGGGCGGGTCGCCTGGCCTCTGGGTCAGCAGGGGCCCCCGGGGGAGAGGCAGCTGGGAGGCCAAGGAGCTCCGTTGGGTGGGCGGACGCCTGGGGCCCTGCTGCTCGCGCTTGCTGGCCTTGAGCCAGCCGCCTACCACCTTTTTGTTTCCTTGTGTAAAACGAGGATCGGACCTCCTTATGGGGTAGCATTAAGCGAGAAAATCTACGTGACGGGATCGTGCAGTTCTTGGCGTGTGGGCACTCCGTCAAGTTTTTTTTAAAGTTTTGTCTAAAAAGATCCCAGAAACAATTTTTAAAAAAAATTAGGAACGTAACATATATATTCATTCCCGAGAACAAGCAGAGTTCCGTATATGTATCAGAAAATGGTGGTCACCTGTGAACCCCCCCGCCCCCGCCCCCCAGCGGCAGTCACTGTTGACAGGATGCTAGCTTACCTTCCCGGGTTGTCTTTAAGATTGATTTACCTGAGAGAGTGGGTGAGTGAGCGCACGCACAAGCAGGAGGGGCAGAGGGGGAGAGAGAAACTCAAGCAGCCTCCGCACTGAGGGTGGACCCGATGCGAGGCTCGATCCCATGACCCCGAGATCATGACCTGAGCAGAAACCAAGAGCCGGACGCTAAACTGACTGCGCCGCCCGGGTGGCCCTGGGGTTTCTGTTACGTGCATCTTCTATGATAATAAGAACACAAACAATAGTAGCAGAGCTCCGGCCTGTTTTGCCAAATGGGCAGCACGCTCCCTGTGCTCAGTGCCCCCTGAACAGCCTGTCCCCTGCCCCCGAGGGGCCCTGGGGCCCGCGAGCTGCGTGAGGCACCTGAGTGAGTCCCCGTTCCGAGCGCGCTCCCTGGAGACCCACTGGGGAGGCTTTCGGCTTTGGTCTGTGCATCATCGGGGCGTATGAGCGCCCGGGTATTCTTAAAACGTTCTGGGGCCTGGGGGTCTTCGTTCGAGAAGGGGGCGTGAGCAGGTGTGCACAGGGAGGCGAGCACCCGCCGGGTAGAGCGTGCGCCACCTCAGACCGAGCGAACCTCTCTGTGCGTCGTGCCCTGTCCCCGCAGAACCGAAGGCCGGGCCGCGGCCCCGCAAGCCGCCCCCGCGGAGGCCCAGCAGGACGTGGGCCGTGCTGAAGCTGCTGCTGCTGTTGCTGCTGTGCGCGGCGGGCGGGCTGCTGGCCTGTCGGGTGCCCGAGCTGCGGCGGCAGCCCCTCTGCGCCGGCGTCAACGCCGTCTACGACAGCGCGCTCCGCGGCCTGCGCGGCCACCACATCCTGCAGTGGGTGCTGCGGGCCGACTCGCAGCAGTGAGCTTGTCCTCGACGCCCGCCGCCTCCCGGCCCTGGAGCCTGGATTCCTATGGAATTGGGTTCTGCGGGACACAGCCTGTTTGCGGCGCCAGACCTGCCTGCCATCCTCAAGCGGTTGCCGACCGGTACTTGAGATCCCCTCTTCTGGGACTGCTTTGTTCCTTAGCCAGGGCTCCCGGGCGGGGGAAGGCGAAGCGGGAGGTGGGCCGGTTACCTGCATGCCTAAAGGAACAGGCTTGGGGTGGGCAGAGGGAAAAACAGCCTTTTCCAGTCGTTACACAAAGCTGTGTAAAGGCAAGGCTCGTTCCTACTAAACGGTCAGGTCAGCTGTCACTACATTTATACTTTTGTATGTCACAAACCCTTTCTTTCATTCCTCCCTGCGTAGCCAGGGCAGATCAGGAGGCGGTGTGGTATTGGGGACTAAGGGAACACCATACTCAGCAAATCTAGCCTAAATTGGGGGGTGGGGGGGTATACCTATTTTCTTAAGGACCTCAGACATTTTAATGACCATATAAAATCTTAGGCTGTGAAAGGGACTTCAGGACCATACAGTCCAATATAATACGTGCAGACAGGGAAACTGAGGCCTTCCATGACTTGCCTACGGTCTCCCAGCTAGTTTGAGGCACAACTAGACTCTCACTCCAGTGTCCTCTTTCCATCATTTTTGCTTCTTTAACAACGTCTGGAGAGACCAGAACTCACAGCGGAACTGAGCGTCTCTCAGCTGGGGTGCAGACTCTTGGACGGTAGGCAGCTTCGTGTCCCACAGATAGAATTCCCCCAGCCATGAGGGTCCGGGGCAACTCCTGCAGAGTCCTGCCCCTGCTCATGTGGCTGTCACCAAACGGGCCGGGCTCCTCGGCTGTGTTAGAGCATTCACTCCCTGATTGCCAGTAAACGAGGTGGACCGTTGCGAAGCTGTTCTGTCTGTGACAGCTGTCAGTCGGTGTGACAAACTCAGAGGCAGCCTGCAAACTCAGGTTTCGTAGAACCGGTGGTTTGGCATTGTTTGGGTCTAGACCCAGAACCACCCCCGCAATGAAGGGAAACAAGTAGCACCATGGAGTTTAAGCATTGCGTTTATGAACGGCTAGCACGGACGGGGGCAGGACTGTCTGTTCTGTCTGCCAGATGAAGCCACTTCTTGCTCTGTGGCCTCCCGTGGCCTCCTGCTTTCACAGAAGCCAGAGGAAGGGATAAGACATGGTCGTCATGGTGCTCCTTCACTGAAAACTCCCCATTGCAAGCTTCTTGTCTCTCCCTTAGGAGAGCAAGAACCTGTCACGATTCAGAGACAGAGTGGGGTCCAGCTTTCAGCCTTAGTGGCTCATTTGGATAGGACAGCCACTCGTGACTGTCCTCATACTAGAAGAGCGACTTGTTCCTTTCTCCCCCACAGACAGCTCTGCTGCTAAGGCCCACACCTTACTCAGAATCACTACATGTTCCTTCGTCTTCCTCCAAGTTCCAGAGCCATTGGTACAAATGCTTTATTGAAACTAAATACATAGTATGTGAGATGAGATTAAGAGGATAGGGAAGTCAGCACAGGGATCAGACCCACATGCAGGGGGCTGGCTGAGGCGGCCTCCGTGGGTGAGAGGGAGGCAGGGCACGGCCAGCCCCATCTGGCCAGCCCGCTGAGGGAAGTTCACTCCTGATCTTGAGATCTGAAGCTGAGGTTCTTCTGGATTTCTACAATTATTAAATATGTGTCTGAGTGGTCTGTCTGTGTTGCTTCGTGTTTTGAGGGCTGCTGGGGTAGGGCGATTTGTGCACGGCAGCGGAGTTTCGCTGGGAGAGGGACACTGAATGCTTGTGCAGGTGAACGCAGGTATCTCAGCTGTCTGTCCCAAGTTGGCAGGGAGACTTCTACAGATACTGACACCCAGGAAGGAGTCTGTGGTGAGCCCGACCCAGGCTTGTGCTTCGGGAGGCACTCCCAGCCTCTTCCTGTGGTCCTCTTCCGAGCTGGGTGAGGTGGAAATCTCCAGCTTTTCATCCTGGTCCCCCAGGGCTGGCATCAGTCTGCACTGTCTAAAGAGAGATCTGGCTGCAGAGCAGTCATCTGAAGGTAGATGCGCCTGGAGAGCTCTGGTCCGACCCGGCGGGAGGTGGCGGTCACGCCTTCCCCACGACGCACCTGTATGTCTGCAAGCAGATTCTGGCGTTCTTGCTCCGAGAGACACCGTCTGTAAGCCTGAAAGTGGCAGATGACCTCTCAATACTGTACTACCCAGGGTCACCCCTGTCCATCAATAAGGGGGCAGTGAGCTTGGGTGGGGGGATGAGAACCCGTGTCCTCTGTTCACTGATCTCGGCAGGCCTGTACTGCTGACTACCAGTGCCCTCGCGGAAACTGCCTGGGAGCCCACTAAAGCCACAGGGTGCTGGGGGATGACTGTTGGAGCAGCCTACCTGGACCAGAAGTTGGGGGGAGGGATAGGTGTCCACAATGGCGCTGGCCATTTCCAGGCTGACTCGGTTCAGCTGCTGAATCTGTCTCCTCCAGACCAGCGCAAGTCCCCTGCCTGCGCGGTCCACCTTTGCCCCTCCAGCCCAGTCACTCTCCAGGCAGAAGGAGAAACTAGTTTGGTCTCGAAGCTTCCTGTGAACAGCAGTTGAAGAGCTGTGAGTCACTCGTCACTCCCATCTGTCCCCTTCCCTGGGAACTTAAAAACCCTCCCTCCACAGACCTCACGGGCGCCTATTTGGGTGCTCACTTTGTCCCCAAGCAGTGCTAGTTGCTAGTTCCCTTAAAAATGATATCTAGTCCTTCTCATTAAGAGAGAAGTTGCCAGAAAAGTACCAGATTGCTTCCGATGTTGACATTGGGTTGTATGGACCAGAGAGGCAGTGTGCATGGGGATAGCCACTAGGGACTGGCTGTCAGGCAATCTGGGAGGAGTCTGGTTCCACTTTTAACTTGCTAGGAGCTCAGACAAGGCAGTCTTCAGGCCTCTGTTCCCTTGGGTAGAAAATGAGGGACTTGGACTGGACTGAGGTCCCCTACTATTTTAAATTCAGACCACGAACACTCCCAAAGCTAAGTAGCCTAAAAGTTTGTTTTATGAGGGCTTATGACATCGTGACCTGACCTGGGACGGATCTTGGTAACCTGGCTCACTGGTGACCCAGCACCAGCCTGGAGAACATGAACTTACAGAGCAGCTACTGCAGAACGTTTTAAAGGGACTGGGGTTGAGGGCTCCTCACGAGCATCCCCAGCATGAGGTTGGCTCCGTCCACCACCAGCCTCACAGACAAGGGGCTGGTGGCAGAGTTCAGGGGAAAAGGACATGTGTGGGGACCAGAGCCACCACACAGCACAAGGCCCAGCAGTGGAGCCGAGACTTGCTGGGGCACTCACTTGAAGGGCGCCTCAGCCACAGCCTTCGTAAACGCGCATGCGAAGTCGGCCAGCTCTTTCCAGCTCTGCACCGTTCGGGCCTGGGCTTGTGTGTACAGCTGCAGATCCACCAAGGCCTAGAGACCCAAAGGCAGGACGGGTTGGAGGGGTGGAGGGAGACTTGGCTGAGGTTCCTCTCTCATGCCTGCCAAACCTGCACCCCAGCCCCTTGGCTCCCTGTTTAGCCCCTTCTTTTTTACTCAGTGCCAAGGCAGAAAGGCGTGTCCAGCGGGCACTTTGCTCCTGATCTAGAGCAAATCGGGTTCAATGAGAGTGGGAGCCCAGCCTGACTCAAGCAACACGAAGTTCTTACCTCTTCCACGTCTACCCTGGACACCATGCACCCTGTGTTGGCCTCTGGTCGTCTCTGCTTCTTCTCCTTGGCCTGTTCCCTATCTGCCACTCCCTGCTTCCTTCTTCTTGGAGGGTTCGGAGCACTGGAACCGGGGAGGAAATCAGACAGCAGCAGCTCCAGGCTGAGCTCGGGCAGAACAGGGGTGAGAAGACCCGACCAGAGCATAGGGCTTGTAAGGGGGGGGACTCAGATGTGGGATGAGTAAGGTCACCTCTGGTGGAGCTGCCCCTTTTCATGCTAAGTCTTGAGGACCAATTCAAACCTGAAGCGTTTCTCCTGATCCACAATCACCAGTGACAGAGCTTTCCCAGCTGCCCTTGCTGTGGCGTCAGTCACAAAGCTCCGCAGCGTCTCCTTCCCCTTCTCAGTGCCGCCCACACTTCCCTGTGTGAAGGGCAGACACTGCGTTAACGTTCGTTCCCTAGGCTCGGCCCCCGTCCCATGCCTTAGCGCCCAGCCTGCTTTGCCCACCTGCTTGAAGTTCTGGACCATGGACACAAACGCCTCTGCCGGGAGCAGCGCCAGGACCGTTGGTTCCTCCACCCAGTCTTCCTGTCCATCCTGCCAAAGGACCCGGAACCCAGCACAGGGAGGCAGGTCAGCAGGTGCTCAGCACCTGTGAGAGAGACCCAGGCCTTCGGGGTGAATGAACGCACCCACACCAGCCGAGCCCATTTTTGCATTATTTTTTTCTTCTGGAATGAAGCCAGGTGGCAAGAAACGATAACCCATGACCCTTTCCCTCCCCAGTCCTCAACTGTTCAACCTTGGTGAACCACGTCTCAGAGGCGGTGAAGAAGAGGAGTTGAAATGGGCTGAGAACTGCCAATGTTTCTGTACGCTCTGGATAGGGGAATGGAGGGAAAGGAAAATTCCAGAGGGTTTTGTGCAAATAAGTACTTGGCCTTTGAGGGCAGGGGCTGACTGGGAGCTGAGTGGCTCTTACAGACAGATGGGAGCCACGAGGGGAGCTGCCGCCTGGGAGGGCCCGTCCTCTGCACCATCGCCACAGGGCGGCCTCCCGCGAGACACTCCTGCAGCGGTCGGAGTGACGGAGCCCTGGGAGCAGGGCTCGTGGGGAGGCTTTTCTCACTGGGTCCCTGTAAGCCAACGCCAAGACCCATAACACAGCCAAGTGTAGCGGGAGGAGCGCCGGCCTCTAGTTCCTGCTCCGCCACCAATCGGCTGTGACCCTTCACAAAGCTTTCAACTTCTCCCGCCCGGCTCCCCGCCTGTGACGTGGGGTGACAGCTCCCTCCGTGTAGGGGGCCTGCCACGGGCATGGGAGTGAGAATGTGGAAGCGCCTTGAAAAGTCACTGCAATTTGAATATAAAGATTTGCTAATCCCCCGAATTAAAAAGTGTGCAGTTGCCATAAATTACTGAGAAAATTATGAGATCCAAATGAAAGGGGAACAATTTTGTTTTAAGCAGGCTCCATGCCCAACGTGGGGCTTGAACTCATGACCCTGAGGTCACGAGTCTCACACTCTACCAAATGAACCAGCCAGGCGCCCCAAGAGAGGAAAAAATCTTAATGTTTCTGCAAATGTGGACTATTTTGGATTCGCAGATAAGAGGAGCGGAAGGCACAGGAGCTGTAGAAACCTCAGGAGCCTGGGCCAAGGAAGGAACATTTGCTGTGTGCCCTACTGTGTGCTTGGGGCTTGGTTATCTCAGTCCCCATGACACAGGGCACCCAAAGGGATACAACAGTGTCAGTGTTTCACAGATGAGGCACAAAGAAATGAAATAATTTGCCCAGGGTCATAGCAATAAAGCTCTGGGGCCTGAAATTCAAGCACAAGCCCACCTATTCCCAAAGCCCAGTGTCAGAAATCCCATGCAGATATCTTCCTTCTGCCCCGCGGGTCCACTCTCCCCCTTCCCGCTCTGCTCTCTGCAGAAGACCACATCACCAGGCCCTCTGGTGCAAATGGCCAAATGGGAATGGTGGGTGGGAAACCCAACAGGAGACTGGAGAAGGGAAGGGAAGGAGGGAGGGAGGAGTGAAGTCGAGCTATTTCCCTGGCTCCCTCGAAATGGGTCACTTAGGGTTTGCTATGTTCCTCTATGGGAGGGCAAGCTTCTCTCAAGGGGGTCCTCTCTACATTTCTCTCTCCCTTCTGGATTCGGGGAACGACTTCCTCCCCTCATCCCTTCAGGCCTAGGCATGGTAACAAATATGCAGGGGTCCTCAACCAGGACCGATTTTTCCCCACAAGGGACGTGTGGCAACATCTGGACATTTTCGATTGTCAGGACTGGAGGGGGGGGTGCTACCGGCATTAAGTGGGCAGAGGCTAGGGAGGCTGCTCGACCTTCTACAGTGCACAGGACAGCCCCTCACAACAGAGAACTCTCCGATTTGAAATGCCGACTACACCCGAGGTGGAGAATCCCTGAGTTAGTGGTGTCATTACCGTGAGGTGCTGTGTCATCCCTTGTAGTTGCCCTGTACCCTGCCCACGCTTTAGAACACTGTTCCTTTCTTACATCTTCCTCAAAATTATCCTCAGTTGAGCGTGCCAGCTGATTTCCTGCTGGGACCCTGATTAAAATTCTTTAGAATGAAAGCGCATTTATCGGGGAGCTCGAAGCGGGGAGGAGAGACATTAACCAGAAAACCGCTACCTCGGATGGCGCAGCCCTTCTCCTCCAGGTGATGCTGCAGGGCACGGCCTGTGCCTCGATCACGCAGCGGCACTCCATGGACTGCAGGGCTCCGAGGAGCTGGCCTCCCCCTTCCGTCTGCAAAAGCACTGCAACAGATGACGAGAGAGGGGCGGTCAGGGGCTGGCCCAGAAAGCGGGCACCCCAGCTTGGGAAGAAGACACAATGCTAGGAGGACCTGGATCCAGCCCCACGACGACGTGCTTTAAGCATTCCTCGGGCCTCTGAGCTTTCAGCCTATTAACCGGGGCTGCCTTCTCCGTCCTCTCCTGTTGTCTCCGCGGCTGGCATCCCTGCAAGCCTCTCTGGACCTTCTGGCTATGCTTGGTTCTCTTCTGAAGTGGGGGGACCTCAGCATTTGTTTTGGTTACGGTCCAGCTGCCATTCGGGACAGGGCAGGTAGCTTTGAAGGCAGGAAGCTGATGGCGTGGATTGTCTCCCACAGGGTCCTTGTTAGTTGATGCATGTCTCTCTGAGGTTTCATGGAGGGGAAGATCAGGGACCTTTGGAAAGGGTTGGTTTTCCCAGTCACGTGATGCTCCTGCACTATTTTGGTGATCCCATAGACTTTTAACTGGGGAGCTAGAATCCTCAGGGCTCAGCTGCTTGCGGGTCAAAAACTTACAGGTAAGCCTCTCAGCCAGGGGAGCTAATTCTTCCTCATCCTCACTTTCACTGCTTAGCACCCTGACTGGCTCTGTTTGTGTGACCGGTTCAGCCGTGTCTCGGATAGGTGGTACATCTTTCAACCTTGGTGACGGACGACAGGAGGCCTCAGAATCTGAGGTGTCAACCACAATGATTTTTGCCTCCCTCTGAGGCTGCCTCCTCTTTGTTGAAGATGGTTCCTTCTTCAGGAAGGCAAATGTTGGCAACTCTTCCGACTCACTCTCACTGGAATCCAGTGCCAGTGATGACTTTAGAGCCATCAATACGTGCTGTCAAATTAATCCCCTGAAAGGAAAAGAGATGAGATGCAGACTGTAGCACTGAACTCAGTCCATTAGACATGTTCTGTGGCCAAACTATGGAAATACATACAATATAGAAACAGAAAAACAGGATACTGTCCCAACACATTCAATCTGGAACTCAGCTGTCTGTAGTCTAACAGGACTCCTCAAATCCCTTCTAGGTCATGGTGACCTAGAAACAAAGTGGAGATTACTATCGGAAAATGTTAATGCAGTAGTAACAAGACTCAACACCACCCCCTTGTTGATCTCTGCATTTGAAATGCAGATGTCAAGTCATCCTTTCTCTAAAATTTGAGATAACATTCACATACCATAAACTTCTCTTTCAAGTGTACAGTTCAGTAGTTTTTAGTATATTCACAAAACTGTGCATCACTAATTCCAGAATATTCTCATCACCCCAAAAAGAAATCCCATAGCCATTAAGCAGTCACTGTTCACTTCCCCGTCCCCCAGCTCCTGACAACCACAAATCTACTTGTTTTTTATGGATTTGCCTGTTCTGGATAGTTAGTACAAACAATCATACAGCATGTGGTCCTTTGTGACTGCCTCCTTTCACTTAGCATGTTTCTTAGGGTTCGTTTATGTTGTGGCGTGTGTCAGTATTTCATGGCTTTTTATGGCTGAATAACATTCCACTGCATAGATCTGCCACAATTTGCTTCTCTGTTGAGCACTGACGGATATTTGGTTTCCGGGTTTTGCCCATTATGAATAATGCTGCCATGAACATTCACGTCCAGGTTTTTGTGGGGACAGGTTTTCAATTCTGTTGCATGTATACCTGGAAGTGCAACTGCTGGGTCGTGTACAAGAATCACTCTTCGAATAAAGGTTCACTAACACTGTAGGTGTGACCCCGGATGGGCCGCGTAACCTCCCTGAGCCTCGCTTTCCAACATAGTAAAACAGAGATGATAACAACACCTACTTCATAAGATTGTGCGAAGTAACTGAAATCGTGCCTCTACAGCGCTTAGCACAGCACGCAGCCGATAGTAAGCCCTCGGTAAAGGACGCTGAAAGTCTAGGGAGGGACCTCCTCTGAGTCCGCTCCCTGCACCTCGCCAGAGTCCGGCAAACCGAGGTTGCCTGCCAGGCCGGTCCGGCGCGTCCTCACCGCGCGGCGGAGCCCCGGACACCCTGGTTACCGAGGCCCTGCCGGGCGGCGCTCAAAACTCCGGCCCCAACCCGCCGCCCGCCGCCCGCCGCGCCAGCTCTCACCTGTGACTCTTCGCGCCACTCTTTCAACTGCAGCGCAGGCCCCGGAAGCAGATCGCCCGGTAGCGGAAGCAGATTTCTGAGACCGGAAGCGAGTGGACGGCAAACATGGCGTCGGTGGCGCTGGCGCTAAGGACGCGGGCGGCTGGTAACGGGACGCCGTGGCTGTTGCGGGGCGAGGGGTGCAGGCGGAGCGGGGACCCTGCAGGGAGCCTGAGGGTGGAGGCCGTTCCCCGCGGAGGCCCCTAGGCGCCGAGCCGGGAGAGCGCGGGGGGCCCTCGAGCTTTGAGGGGCAGCTGTCACTGACCACGTCGGGCGCCCGGCCTTGGGTGGTGGTTCGAGGAGCATGTGTCCCCTTCCTTTGCCCCGCGCGCAAGTACAGCTTCCCTAGCTTTTGGTGACGTGGGCACGCCGCTTCCACTCCGTGGATCCTTTCATCTATAAATACTGGCACGCTGGAGCTCAGAAAGTTAACAGATTAAAGTCTTTGTGCCAGACAGTGCAGTTAGGTGTTGGGGATCTCAGCAGAGATGAAGACAGTCTCTATCTCCCGGGCCGGTTCTTTCTAGTGGAAAAGCCAAAAATAAGCACAGAAACAAAATGGTTGTAAATTGTGACGAGTGCTGTTAAAGAAAGCAAAAATGTGTGTTTGCTGTCTTTTGGGGGGTTGGTGGTCAGGGAAGCCCTTCAAGGAGGTAACATCTAAGTTAAGACCTAAAGGATGACGGGAGGCCTAGCCCTGGTAGAGAATGAGGGGCAAGAGAGTGACATAAGCCAGTTTTCCATGTTGAGAAGCAAACCATTGCGCTTAGGTGAATTTAAAAGGGGGTAGGAGTGGAAAGGAGGAAAACAGATGGGAAGCTGTAATAGTAGTCCTGATGAGACATGATTTAGCCAAGATGCTAGTGTCAGTGAACTTGGGGGAAATGGGTGGTTTTAAGATCAGTTTTGGAGATAAAACTCAGAGTTTGCTCGTGAGCTGGGTATGTGAGATGAGCAAAGGAAAGTGATCTGCAATGACTCTCTGATTTCTGCCCAAGCAACTGCATAGTTGGTAGCATCCTTTACTCTGAGGTGGGGGATGGGGAGTAGGCTGAAGGGCAAAGATTTGTGAAAGAGATAGTGTAGATAAAACAAAAGCCCCATTCCTCAGCTTAATAAGTTAGAGGATGAATGAATGAATAGATTTAAAGGTAGATAGATCTTGGTGCTGGGCATTTAACATGTCTTTCTAAGCATTTATTTCTGGTCCTTTGTCCCAGCTACTCTCTATCATTAAAACTTCAGAAACCTGGGGGCGCCTGGGTGGCTCAGTCGTTGGGCGTCTGCCTTCGGCTCGAGTCATGATCTCAGGGTCCTGGGATCAATCCCCGCATCGGGCTCCCTGCTCCACGGGGAGCCTGCTTCTCCCTCTCCCACTCCCCCTGCTTGTGTTCCCTCTCTCGCTGTGTCTCTCTCTCTGTCAAATAAATAAATAAAATCTTAAAACAAGACAAAAAACAAAAAAAACTTCAGAAACCTGGTTTCAGGAACTCTGAACTTGTAGGCTCTGGAGACTCACAGGGCTTCTCTAAAGATTCTGGCATAACCCTGATTAACCAGGGCTGTGTCTGGAGACCCGAAAGCAAGGACTGCCAGCCCTGTGCTTGTCATATAGCAAGTGGCTTCCAACTTAGTTAGTATGAATTTTAGTTCACTCTCCTTTTGAAAAGAAATGCCATTGAGCATTTTGGAATGAGTATGGAGAGGTCAGGTTGTCAAGGGCAGGGCGTCAGTCTTCTTGGTCAGGACACGTACTGGGTGGGCTTGCTGATGAAAGAGTCCAGCCTTCTGAAATAGCTAAGAGCCTGTGGGAGCTACCCTCCGAGAAGCTGCCCTTTTTGTTTACGAGTATTTGGTGTGCAGGGGATGGGTGAATGGTTGAGAAAGTGGTGGATGACGCCAAAGCAGGACCCTCTCTCTGGGTGTCCTATTGCTGGGCTCTGTGGTCCAGCCCCTCCACAGTGTCTGGAGCCTTGAGGACATGTGGTGAGTGAGGCTGAAACCAGCAGCTCTGTGGTGTCCTCTCGCTGGCTTATATTTCCTGTGGTGTTTGTTTCTCTTCAACAGGACTGAATGTGTCAGGACCCAGGGCACATGGTGTTTATTTTCTTTCCGTGAATATTTCACTGCCCACCGCCTCCCCAGGCCACACACACACTTCTCATGCAGGGCATACGCCCTGGACAATACAAGGAATGACTTGTCCCCTGCCTTGGAGAAGGCCAAGGACTTTCAGACACTCCCTGAAAACCACCAACACAGTCAGGTGGCATTTCTGCTCACGTATCTTCCTCACCTCCCCCGCCACTACCCCCGCCACCTCTCAGCTTACCAAATGGCCCATCGAGGCAGAGAAAGAGTGATTGGGAGCCTCTCTGAACAACATTTCTGTTCCGTCTGCAGGTACAGCCCTGCTGAGCCCCCCTCAGGCTGCGTCTCTTGCCATCAGATATGCATCCAAGAAGACAGGTGGCAGCTCCAAAAACCTGGGTGGAAAGTCACCAGGCAAACGCTTTGGCCTCAAGAAAATGGAGGGTGAGCGTGTGCCTTGGCTTCCATTTTCCAGCTGCACCCTCTCTTGCTGTCCCTGGCATCCTTTGCAGAACAGGAAGACTGTGCCCCCTCCTGGGCCTGTACTCTCCGCTTAGCTCGCCAGAGCACTTGGCTCCAGATTACAGATGCAGAGAAGACCTGAGGCAGGGAGGGGGTCCTGAGGAAGAGCAGATAGGTGTGAACCTGGGCCATGTGATTGGAGAGAAGAGTGTGGAGACTTGGGGGGGGGGTTCAGGGGGTGAGACTGGCAGAGGGAGATGGGGGCTGCTTGTGTCCGAGCATGTAGGAATTGGCTTTGTCCAGGGTCAGGCTTAGAGGTTGGTGTGCAGTGTCTGGGCCAGGAAATCGAGGGCCGGTATGTTTTTTCAGCAGTTTGCTGTGCTGCCCCATCACTGGGGCCCACAGTCAGCGTGCTTATGGACTTTTCTTCTAGGTCACTATGTCCATGCTGGCAACATCCTTGCGACTCAGCGCCACTTCCGTTGGCACCCAGGCGCCCATGTGAGTTCCTCTGTGGCCCTTTCCCCTTTTGTCTTTCCCAGGACCACCTCTCTCTGTTCCTAAGCATGGTAGTGATAATAAAACAGTTGTGTTTATGGGATGCTTAGCAAATGCCAAGCATCATTTTGCTTCCTGGGCCTGCATTGTCTCGTTTCATCCTTAGCCCATCCCCATGATGCACTAGGTATCACTAGGTATCCATTTTCGAGGTAGGATGCCAGAGACTTAGGGAGTGGAGGGGGCCACATGGCAGAGCTGGGGTTCGTGCTGGGGCTGCCTGCCTCCCAGTCACTGTGCTTTGCCTTGTGGAGCATCAGCCTGGTTCTCTTGGGTCTCCTTTCTAACCCCACCTGTTAGAGGAGGAGATGCCTAGTGATTTGAGATACTTTTTGAATCTTGGGAAACTAATTTCAGTGTATTCCTTTTTCCTTCTTGCTAATCCTCTTTTGCATAAAATTGTTATCAGATGGCTGAAAGATAGTTTGAATTTAATAAAATAGAATTCAGTGTATGTGCCAGAAACTAGGTCCATATCAGGCAGGGATTTCAGTTTTCGGCAAGTTGGGATTACTTTCTGAGGTAGGAAGGTTCTTTGTTAACACAGATCTGTACCGTACTCTTTTTTTTTTTTAAGATTTATTTATTAGAGAGAGTCTGAGCTCCCAGATGAGCTTGGAGCCTGTCTTGGAGGCCCGATCTCACAACCCCAAGACCATGACCTGAGCCAGAAATAAGAGTGGGATGCTTAACTGACTGAGCCACCCAGGCACCCCCGTACTGTACTCTTCACATTATCTTAAATGTTAGTTTAGTTTCGTTTGTAATCAGTCCCCTCACCGCCCCTTTTTTGGCCATTTTAGTAGGCATATAAAGACTGATAGTAGCCAATAATTAGGTCAGAAATGCTAGTTTACATGCGAATGGATTGCATTCGTAGTAGCTTTGTCTCTTAGGACTTGAGGCCCTGGCTGTGTGCCTGTGGTAACCCTGGGCACTAACTCAAATAGCGGCTGCAGTAGTAAAAGCTGACGTGTTTTGAGCTAAGCAGTATTCTAAGCTCTTTATGATTAACTCACTTAATCTTTGAGGGGGGCCCCATAAAAGTAGTTAATATTATCCCCATTTTGCAGATGAGAAAACGGAGACACAGTGAAGTAATGCAGCTTGCCCAGGCCACACGACAGGAGGCAGTGGTGCTGGGATTTGAACCCGGCATCCTGGCTCCAGAGCCCGTTCCTTTAATCAGAGAAATATTGAATAATGCTCTATTGCCTGGGTAAAAGTTGCCCCACATCCAATCTCAAGTTCTAAAGGAAAAATGCTAAAATATATGCAGTTCACAAACTGTATGCGCAACATGTAGTTTATTCTCCGCTCATAGTTTTCATCGAGAGCAGTTAGAAATGGTAGCTGCTTCACAGGGTGAGGACTAAAGGGGTCAGGGGAGCACTGCCTGCACAGGCAGGCGCTGTGAAAGGACTGGTGCCTGTCACTATGATTGCTGTTCTGTTAGATGATGTATTACCATAGGGCTTTGGTCCATACTTTCCTTAGAGCCTAAACTTCAGAGGTCACTATGTAGGACGAAACTATGTCAAGCTCATGTTTACTATGACAACTCCAGTGTTTTTTAATTTTAAGTGAGGCCGGCTCCCAGGGGGCAGTGCTTAGGGGCATCTTCCCGGGCCTGGTTTGGGAATCTGTCCGGTGTGGTGCCCGGCCAGCCGCACAGACATGGGTCTAGGGACCAGCCTTCAGGGACTGAGCACCCGCGAGGATTGGCTGTTGGAGTTTTCTTTTCCCTCTTCTGTTACAGAGTCCTAGATGCCAAGGAGGTGCCAGGCAGCAGGAAAGGGAACCCGAGATAGAGCTTTCTGATCCCCCCCT